TTTCTTTCTCTTTTACATTTTTTATTTTAGAGTTGTCTATTTTTATTTTACACGTGGGTGTTTTAGCTGCATGTATATCTGTGCACCATGTGTGTGCCTGATGCCCACAGAGGTTAGAAGAGGTCATTAGAGGTCCTGGAACTACAGCTGATAGATAACTGTAAGGTACCATGAGGGTGCTTGAACCCAGGTCCTCTGCAAGAGCAACAACCGCTCTTAACTGCTGAGCCACCTCTCCAGCCCTTTTCACTCTATGTTCTTAGCCGAGAGCATGAAGCATAACCTGTATGTCCTTATTTGGTAATGTGAACATGCCAAGTACACCCTGGCTTTATGACTTAGCTAGTCCTTCGTCCTGAATTCCCTCACCTCTTACAATCACCCCCACAATGGCTTCTTATAGTCCACACTGCACCGTACTTCCTTAGACAAGCCTCTGCCAACCTCGAGTGGACACCAGATCACCTCCACATCACCCTGGCTTAACTTTCTGGTATTTTCCCCATTTGTCTTCAACCACCTGTCTTGGGCCACTTGAAAGTTCTGTAACAACTTTTCTGCAATAATAGGTGTGCAGATGTTTGTATTTGCTTAACAAAGCAATTTTTCTTAGTTATATACATTCACACAGAGAGATACTTTAGAAGTAAACAGGACACATTTTATACAGTTTAACATCTTTACAGATAGGTTATTTCACATGAATAATTATGATAGCACAAGTGCTGGACATCCTGGACGGACTTCTCCCTCCTCCACAAGTTGTTCTAGCGTTACTTCTCATCACAGATGAAATACAAGAGACAGACAAGATCAAAGTCTACAAGCATGGACAAAGCTTTCTCCTACAGCCTTGCAATGCCTAACGTAAATATGTGCAAAGTAAATACCAGTCAGATGGGCTTTATGACAGGGTAGATAAAATTACTTGTGTAACACAGGACTGGATTAAGTACCTAATAAACCTACCAGAATAAAGGTGTGGTATTAGTAAGTACTGATTAAGGGCTGTGGAGATGGTGCAGGGTGCATGGGGCCCTGAGTATGATCTCCAGAATCCATGGGGAACTGGAGAAGCCCTGGTGCTCTTGACGAGATCAAAGGCTGGATTCCAGGAGCTGGAGGGCTGGCCAGTGCAGCACACGCAATGGCAAACAACAAAGACTGTCTCCAACAAAGTGGAAGAAGACTGGCACCTGAGGTTATCCTCTGACCTCCACATGGGTGCATGGGATACAATCATTTGGGCTCTCACATGAACTCACACAAAAAACAAAAGACAGATAAAGTCTCCTGGGTCAAATCAAATGACTTAGTAAATTAAGAATCCAGCCCGACCTTGTTTTATAACAGTCTTCAAAATACAGCCTTTTGCCTCAAGCCCACTTAATCTTTAATAAATACTCACGAATCAAGCACTAATACAGTTATATTTAAAGCTATTCTACTGTACAAAAACAGAAGATTTGGAACTGGAGAGATGGCTCAGCAGTTAAGAACACTGGCTGCTCTCCCAAGTTCAATTCCCAGCACCCATACTGCAGCTCACAGCTGTCCTTAACTCGGTATCGGACACCCTCTTCTGGCCTCCACAGCCATCAGGAATAAAAGTGTACAAACATACATGCAGGCAAAACACCCATACATACCTAAGAGACAAATTGTACACCCTTTTCACGTGTCAAAAACTATCATTTAAGCTCTAAACCCCTAATATCCTAGGAATCTGCAGAAGAACAGAATTTTAGAAATAGCTGTTTCAGGCCCGTGCCACCAAGTCTGACTACCTTTGTTCCACCCTCAGGACCTATATGGTAGGAGGAACGACTCCTGCAAGCTGTCTTCTGACCTACATGCATGCATGTTGTAGCATGTACATACCACACTGGAGATGCATGCACACACACACAAACATACAAATAAGAAGCAAGCAGCTGTCTGTCTTTTAAGAGATACATTGTCCCAAACTACACGAAATCTACATTAATAGTTTGGGCAGTTAGATTATTTAAGGCCTGAGGACTGGCTTGACTATTTCCGTACCTCAGATTGGTATGATTGGACAGATTGCCAAAGGAAGCAGTGTATCAAGATATATGGTTGTGCCAAAGCAATTAAACTTTTAACACCTACCAAGGACCGGCCAGTACCAATAGTGAGAAGCAGTGCAAGCAAGTTGCCGAAGGAAATTCAAACTTGATAAGCGTGGGCTTTATCCGTGAAGAGGACCCTAACTCTTCCAGTTACACATTTCTAGGCATTGTAGGGAGGGAGGGACCACCTCGAACACCCTCAATACCAACTGAAGAATGTGTTACAATTTCTCAAAATGAAATCTGTTAACAATTTAAAGTACTTCCTCCTTCATGACTTCAATTCTTAAACAGATGAGCTAACTATAAATAGTACAGCTTAAGTGTGTGTACAGTTTCTAACAATGTAAAAATTGAGAATCAGTACATTTTAGAGAAAAGAGCCTATAATAAGGCTAACAACTGTTGTCCCTGAGTCCCACACCCTTTCCAAATCTTTTCAAGTCTCAACTTCCTATACCAGCACCACAGGCTCTAGCAATGGGACAACCACCTGGGCTTGAACACAGGTCCTGCCACATCTTGGGTGTGCTACCTTAACTCCCTAAGCTTTAATGCCCTCATCTGTAATCCGCACAGCAACACTCCCAGCCAAATCACACTCGTGTAAGTTCTTACCACAATGACTGGCAAGCAGGAAGTGCTGAACAAATAGCTGTCTACAAGTTAATACTGTCAGGAGATGTGCCTAAAACTGCTGCCTCCACCGCACTACATAGTCTCCCCTATTTTCTCTTAACTTCCTTCTCCAAGCTCACAAAAGTTTTACTATTACTAACTCAGATAAAGGTATACTAAATAAACAATATGATGTCGACTGCAACAAAACTCACTAAGAAGTTCACAACATAACATTTACAGGAGTGAATACACTTACACAATTTCCAAGCAATCACTCAGAATTAAGAATTAACTGGTATTATGTTATTATATAATAAATTTGTTGATTATTTAAAGAAAATGGCTTCTGTATTTCTAATATTTTCTCACATTAACACATCTAGGCTCTGTGTGTGAATGGCCTAGAATTCACCTAATAAATATTCTTCAAAACCAAATAGTTACTTCTATAAACCCACAAGGAATTATTGTAACAAATATCCCTAATAACTGAAGTGGATATAAATATCCATCTTAAGCCAGGTGCGGAGGCCCACGCTAATCCCAGGACTTGGGAGGCAGAGACACACAGACCTCTGTGAGCTGGAGGCCAGCCTAGTCTACATAATGAGTTCCAAACAGCTAGAACTACATTGTGAGACCCTGTCCCCCAAAAAAGAAAAAAAAAAGAAAGGAAGGAAGGAAGGAAGGAAGGAAGGAAGAAAAAAGAAAACAAAACAAAGTTTCTGCCTCTTAAGTATCACATTAGCTACAAAGTGTTTTTCATTTAGGGATCTCTGAAAATACATTTTTCCTTTCAAACAGGCATGTAATTTAAAGTATGAGAAGCATCTGTTCTAAACTGGAAAAGAAATCTCAGGAATCCCAATGCCACACAGGTGATTTCAAGTAGTTCAGTCAAGAGTCCGATCACGAGTCTCCTGCACAAATAACCACAGACCTAAATGCCTCATTATCCAGAACATCCTTTTTAGCTACTAGCAGTCAGGACATGGAAGGTTTTATTCTTTGTTAGGGGTAAGAGGAATAGGAAGACTCTTTCCAGAATCAGTGCGCATATTTTCCGAGATAGGAACACATATTTTCCGAGATAGGAACGGAATGGGAATGGAGTGGGGAGGGGGGAGATGATACACTAAAGTATGGGTCAGTGGAATTGTTCAAAGAATGTTCTGGGTACTGTGGACAGAGAACACTGCCCAGGACAGGTGTTTATAACAAAGCTGGGGAAAAGGAAGAGTAACTTGAGACCAGTCTGAGGACACGAGGGTCAGTTGGGTCCCAAATCACCAGTAGTGTGCCCATAACTAATAATTTATCAGAAAACATCCAACGCTAGTGTGTGGGTTATACTGCGCTACGTTACCAAACTTTCACTTACAATAAATATCAGGGCAAACAGCTTGAACCTTTTCTACTGTTAAGCTGTTTTGTGTTGATTTTTAAATGAAACAAAAGAGATGTGATGGAAGACGTGCTTAAAAAGATTCTTACTGGTGCAAAGTCCAGAAGGGCTCAAGAGGTGGAGAGAGCCAAAGGAACAACAGGTTACTACAAAGTCCCTGGGGAGATAAGAGCCTGCCCACAAGATAGGACGGTTATAAACACTTTCTCTGGGTCGGACATCCACGCCACACTCCACCCCCCCCCCCCCAAAAAAAAAAAAACTCTTATAAAAGTGAGTTCGTTGCTTTAAAAATCTCGGGGCAGCTGAAACACTTAAACACTTAAAATTAAGGCTTTATAACTTCAGGCTACCCATCCCCAGCACAGCGATTTTCTTGACCAAAGAAACGCTCTGCTGTCTCAGGCCGAATCCTTTCAGCTTTCTGGGCTGGTTACCAGCCAGCCCACCAACTCCACACAAAGAGCTCTAAGCCGAAATTCCTGGCCCGTGACTCCACCGGCGTCCCCGCGTAGCTGCTACACGCCTTGGGGACTGTCACCGGCTCTGGGAGGGCTCAGACAAAGACAGTGGAACCCGACTCACTGGGGAGTGTCCCATTTCAGGCCTGGCATCCGGACAGGCTCGGCCCCGAGAGCGGAGCGTCCCGCAGGCTGCTCCGGCCGCGGCGCCCCGCGTAACCCTGGCACCGTGCCAGCAGGCCCGGGTCCCCGAAACCTCCGGTCTGCACCGCCTCGACCTCTGTCGGGACCGAGAAGCAGCCCTGCCAAGGGCTCCGGGGCCGCAGGGCCCGGACGACCCCTCCGGCTGGCTCCCGCGCCCGCCCGGTCCACCCGCGCCGCGCAGAGGCCTCCCCTGGCTGGGGCCGCCCGCCAGCTCACCCAGAAGATGAGGTTGAGGAAGACCAGCACGGTCTTGGAGGAGGTGATGCCGCACTGGCCCATGGTGCGGGCGGCCGGCGGAGGCCCGGCTGGGCGAGCGGAGCGGCGCTCAGAGAGAGCGGGCAATGGCGGCGGCGGCGGCGGCTCGGCTGAGAACTGCTGGGCCTGAGCCGCGTTCCCGCAGACCCCCGCGCCGCCGCGCACCGCCCCAGCAAGCACCTCGCGGCTGCGTGCAGCCCGCCGCAAGCCCCCTAGGCCGTTCCCAGGCAACTAAGCCCAGCGTCCGCAGCCGCTCCAGCCAATCATCGCCTCGGAAGCCGAAGTGGCCTCGCCTCTTAAAGGAACCGACGCCTCAGCGCCCTTTCCTCTGGCCTCTGACCGCCCTTGGGTGCAGATTCCTCTTTTTGGGAAATTCTGGTGGGCCAAGCACGACACCCATCTTACTGAGCTACTTTTGCTAGAACCAAATGATTCATAGACCACAGAACTCCGTCCTGTTAACTACTCTTTCCTAGAAAGGCCCGTATCACGTGGGGATTTTCAAGACCGCGTGATACCTAAGCCGCACTCCATCTAAGTTGGGGAGAAACGCGGTGGACATCAGTACGTGTCTATGGAGACTTTAGCATGCCAGAAGCTCTGCTAGCTCTGAGAAGTCACCAGAAAGGAGAAAACGCTGGCTCATTGGCAAGGCAGAAATGTTTGGGCAAGGCAGCCAGCCACCCGTTCAGCTCTATTCCGGGCAGTGCATTTTGGACTGAGATTTGCAATTACAGATACATCTTCATACGTGGCGGGCGACATTTTGCTGTCTTCTCTCAATCTTCGATGAATCGTAATAATTAACACCTTTTAGAAAAAAGTTAGGGTGTGTGTGTGTGTGTGTGTGTGTGTGCGCGCGCGCGCGCGCCCGTATTCACACTCGCACCCACGAGCATCCCACAGCAAGGAGGTGAAGGTCAGAAGACAACTTGTGGGAATCAGTTCTCTCCTTCCACCTTGTGGGTCCCTGGTCATCAGGTTTGGTGGCAATGACTCCGCTTCCGCTGAGCCATCTTCGAAGGCCGCAATTAACACTGAGTGCATATCAGATTCTTTGAACTGTTAGTTCATTGATAGATAGCACCACCCCTCCCCCAGCTTTAGATGCCCAGTACCCGTGACTGTCAGACACCCCACACACACACCGCCCAGCTTTAGTACCATGAGTGTCAGACTAATTTTACCGGTAGGAAAATTAAGGCTTAGAAAGGATGCCATAATTGCCTGCATCCACACATCCGCAGGGTGATCTGATGCAGAAGCATCTCAGCCACACTATTCCTTCTGCCACACTTTTCCTTGTTGCTGCTCTTAAACTATACCTGTTCTTAATCATCCCATTTTCCTGTAGTCTCCCTGGCTCATCATCTTCCCCAGGCATTCACCGGGATACCCAAACACCTCAGCATCCTACTTACATGCACCTTTCTCCATTCTGCACCTATTCTAGGTGATGGCATTCCACAATAAGCAGGAAGACAGATTTTTGTTCCTGTGGCTTTGAACCCAGGTCCTCTGGAAGAACAGCCAGTGTTCTTAACCACTGAGCCATCTCTCCAGCCCACTCCTACTGTTCATGCAGTACTGTTCTCTATGTCTATGAGCATAAGATGTGATGGTTGGATCAGACGTAGAGCACAGTACAGGATGGGCTGGAAAGATGGCCCAGTGGTTAAGAACACCAGCTGTTCTTCCAGAGAACTTGGGTTTAAACCCCAGCACTCACATGACAGCTCACAACTGTCTGTAACTGGGACCCTCGTACATACATGCAAAACACCAATGCAATAAATAAATCATTTAAAAAAATAGTACAGAGTGCTGCTAAATTCCTTCACTGGGAGAGACATAAACATCTACCCTTCCTCCTGAGGTCCCAGTGACAAACCTGGGTAGACCAATGAGTTTACAAGGTTTACAGAGCAATGGCGGCCACACTGGAAGGTCTGCACACAGCGTGGATGATGGCTCCCCCATGGCTGAGGAGGGGATACCACCCCTCCCCTAGTCCTTCCCTAAGGCCACATGCAACTGAGGTAGAATTGCACACACCTGGCTCCAGAGGCCTCCCACTCCTCATTCTTTGAAGGAATGTCAACTGTCAACAATCCCAACTGTGATGATCTTTCATAATTGAACAGGGCTGACCCGATGAAGACAGAGGAGTGCGGCTCAGAGGACAGTCCTGTACAGCACGAGGGTACACTTTGAGGAGGGTACTCTGGGGGAGGACCATATGAAGTGAGGAACAAACCACGAGATCATCTAGAGACCAGCCCAGAGAGAGATATGGTCAGTGCAAAGTCCCCAGGGCAAGAACACAATCACTGTGCTCTAGGAAAAAAAAAAGGCCACCAGATAGTTTAACATGCTGGAGATCAGCACAGAGAAGTAAGTCAGCAAGACCAGGTCACCAAGCTGTGTGTGGTTTGGTTTGTTTCAGACAGGGTCTCTCTATGCAGACCTAGCCCCAACCTCACGGAGAGCTGCCTGCCTCTGCTGGGATGAAAGGTGTAGCCACCACACCTGGGTCCAAGCTGTGTGTTGAGATCCTCCAATCTCTGAGCAGACTAGTGACGTCATCTGATTGAAAATTTTTACCTACCATTTTTGCCTCCCCGTGTGTGTCTGAGTTAAACATTTTAAAAAAGACAACTCTTGAGTCTCTGTATACTTTGAATGTCTTTGATGCCCCAGTCATCCATAAACCAAGCCCTCTCTGCCTTCCACTTCCATTTGTCCTTGCTTCAAACAACTCTGTTGCATTTTCTTGTCCTCATCCCTTGCCTCCTAGTTATCCAAGGAGGTCCCCATGCCTGTCCCCCCATCCTCTATGCTTCCCTACCTCTTCTTACCCCCTGCCCCAGAAGAACCACCTGGGCCACACAGAAACGCCTCATTAGACTCTCCAAGGGTAGGTGTCAGGGAATCCCTCATCCGAAGTACCACACATGATTCTAATGTGCTTCTGGGTTACAAAGCACTGTCCTAAGCCCATCAGCATAGCAGTATCTCTCATATTTTAGAGACAAAATCTCACTTCACACTTGATTCTCCGGCTCAGTCTCCCTCTCTGCCCCTCTCGCCATCTCTCCCCCAAAGTTCTCCCAAAAGACTCGCCCTGCCCAGTGTTTCCCTGACTTCCCTGGGTGTGAGGTCACTTCCGACTTGATGTTCAGATGCAGGGTCTGATTCAGGTTGTACATGCCTAACAACACCTAAGCGACATCGATGCAGCCCGACTGCTCTCTGGAGCAAGTGGCTGTACATCTGGCTTTGACCCCCATTCCTCCAGCTTACCTTTACCACTGCACTGTGCCATTGCCCCATAGTGCCGCGGAAAGTGCCCTTGCCGGGGTTACCAGTGATGTATTACCCTCCCATGAGGCAGCAGATTTGCCACGGAGTCCGCCCTCACCAAAACCCATCTCGAAATAGATTGCCATTGTAGAAGTGCTGGGAGGTTGAGGCCATTAAGAAGTGAGCAGGTCTTTCAGAGGGATTGCTTTGGAGTGTATGATGGTGATGGCACACTCCCATATGCTGAATAAGTGCTCTGCCACCCCAGCCCTTATTTAGTTTTGAGACAGGGTCTCTCTAAGTTACTCAGGCAAGTCTTGAACTCAAAGTTCACTTGGCTCAGCCTTCCCAGTAGCTGGGAGGACAGGACTGCCACCAGGCCCGATTATTGAGAGGAATATATGCCTGTCTACATGAAGTGAGTTTTTGTCTCAAAGAGAATCTGCATGGCAAGCTTTGCTTCTGACATGCTCACTTGCCCTTCTGTTTCCTGTGGTGAGCTGAAAGAACATGGCATCCCAAAAGATGAAGCTGGACATGAGACCACCTGGTCTTGGACTCACCAGCCTCCAGAACTGAGTCAAAACAATCTGCTCTGGCTAGGTATGGTGGTGGACCATCCCAAATGAGGCAGAGACAAGTAGATTTTTATGAGTTCAAGGCCAGCACAGTCTATATAGCAAGTTTCAGGCCAGCCAGGGCTCCAAAGTGAGATGCTGTTTCAAAAGAGAAAGAAAGGAATATACAAAAAATCCGCTTGCTTTCCTGTATAAATTGCCCAAGGTCAGGTAGCCTGTTCCAGTGACAAATGTCTTAAGGAGAACATACATGCTGGCTGAGAGCACACACCTTACACACCACAGAGCCCAGGTTCACAAGGCTACCCTCTCATGCAGCACCGTGGTCCCTTTGTGCCTCGGTGTTCTGTTAAGGAGGGTGTGGTGCTGATGCTGAGCCTCGGGGTTGCTGTGAGTGTCGAGCTGGTTTATACAGAGTTCCTGGTGCGCATGCGCGCTTCATAGTCAGCAGCGTTCACCTAGCAGCATTGGACTCCACTGAGTTCTCTTAGCTCCTCTCGTAGCTTCTAGAAACACATAGCCTAGCCTGTGGTACTTCGTTAGCACCTCTCTTCCTCACCCGCCTTGGATGTTGGAGTTTCCTGAAATTCAGGCTTAGTTCTTGGCTTTCTCAACACCCCTCA